CGAAGTATACGAGGTGAAATCCGAGAGGAGGAAGATCGAAGATCGAAGAATCGAGGAGCAGCACACGAGCCGAAGCCGCACGCGATCCCACGCGCCGCCCGAAGACCGCGCGTGAGCTACACGCGCCGCCACGGACCGTCTCGCCGTTGCTGCCGCTCCACCGCTGCTGCCCGGATTGTACGGATTGGTTTCCGTAGCAATCTCGTCTTGCTTAGTGCGCCAAACTCACGCTTCGAGAGGTAAAGTTTCGAATCTGTTATCCTTAGATTCGATTAGGTTTAAATTGATAATACATGTTCGTTTTGTATGATTTTATGAGCTTATGTGAAATCAGAATTTTATTGCGAGCATGTTGTTTGATTTAAACGCGAGCATGCTAGTTGATTTAATTTCGATTAAGTAATTAAGCATGTATGTTATTTTTATTTTCGCTGGAAGCGCAAATGTACGCAATTAATTGATTTAAATTATCGGGCATGTGTTTATGTGCTTTAAAGTTGTTTAAATCGCATAAAATATTTATTTTCCGCTGCGTACACGTGCCCGAAACCCAACATGCATCGCGTTTGAAAGTAATCTGGTATGTGAATTACTTTATCTTTATGGTAATTGATTGAAAGCCCTCATCCATCCTTTTGATTTTATTTCTCCGACCCAGTAACTAAATTTCCAGCCCTAGAATTAATTTATAGTTTTGTAAAACCCAATGGGTATATATGTATATATTGAATGCAACGACAATTTTCTATGAGTGATGAATATGACTTCGTATATCCAGTTTGAACAACCTATTTGACATGCGTACCAATAATTGACAAAAGAAAAAAATAAGTCTCTACCAAAATTGGAGTTTTTTAGATTGTGGGTTAGCCATGTGAAAAGTCATTTTTTTCTCTGCAGATTTCCCCTTTAACCGATGTAGCCATATCCAAAGAGGAATTTTGGGAGGATACGTGTACTTGGCTAAATGGAATTTGGTTTATGCACACCAACTGTTTGATAAAAATAGGCAAAGGAACATTACTGTCAAATGGAAATTACATGATCAAGCAACCTAGCTATGTGTATGCATTTTACATCAGTGTATGCATTTTACATCATTTCTGAAAGTGTATATTTTGTCTTTATTCTTAGTTAAACCATATATAAGTTGTACGCATCTCACATGCTTACTAAAAAGTGCATATTCTGTATGTGTTTCTCCTTAGAAATTTCCGGCTTACTAGTTTAAATAGAGTGTGCATGAGGTGTATGTATGTCCTTGTAATCATGATTTTTAAGGATACAATCTACTCCCAATACAATTCATTTTCAATACATAATTGAACTAATTTAAAATTTTGTCAAAGCCGTAAGTTCAAAATCAATTTAATTATAACCATAAATAACTATTTTTTAGTTTTACTAGTCATATTTTTAATGAACTTCCTTATTTTAAGTTGCAGGCCAGCTTGATACGAGATCAAATCATCCAAAAATCAGCAACTGCTTTGCAGTCTAACTTAAATGTTAATGTAGCTACGTGTCAAGTAAGTGATCATATATCTGCAAATGCATGTGATGCTGCTAAGAATGCTCTGTATCACAATCTAATCTATTGTTTTATCATATTTTGTGTTTGGAATGTGTATATTCTTAATAAATGTAATTGGCAATAAAAAAGAAAAAGAAAAGGTCACATGAGCTACTTGATGTGATAAATAGCCATTGCAGTGATAATGTGGTAAGCTTTTATAATTTAAGTTTGAATAAATATGTCGTTTATGATCGTTTGGCAATACCAGAATAGGGCTACATCTTTTCTTTGAATAAAAAATTTGTTTGGAGATCATACTGATATTTATGTATTAACAGGTTTATGTGAATTCTCTGTATCTTGATGGAGGTCATCAGTTCCTCTCATGCCTCTACTATTTTTTGTTGTCATTATAAAGGTACAAATACCCCAACTTATGATTCTTTTAATGTATTGAATGAATGTGCTTTTTAATGAGCAAGCTTTGAAGGCACTAAGATTTTGTTCAGTTTTGAGGCTAGAAGGCATTATGCAACATTACTCTTTTGTGTTCGACTTTAAGTATTATCAGGTTTGTTTATATTAGTTTAATTTTGCTTTCATTGAGCGTAAATCGTATTATTAAAACTTGTACTGTGTGCAGTAGATTAATAGCGATTGAGTGAGTTTTGTATGATGTTGAGCTGTCATATAAAGTTTTCGGTTAGTTAATAGTCTAGAAGCTTCTATGTACTAATTTATGTTTGAGATTTAAAAAATGTTAATACTGAGATCTTGATATTAATTCTGGCAGAAAAATAACCAAGAGGTAATAAGAAATTTTGAGGATTATACCATCGCACGGTTCTCGTGTCATGGACAGGGATTAGAGGTAATCTTTTTCAATTTTTATAACTAAATGTGTTGTTTATTAACTATATTCAGCCCTATGTTTAGAATCTTATGCACAACTACTACAAGTGTGTCAACAACTACTAGTGGAATTCTCTATAAAAGTAGATAAAAGTAGTTGATTATGATCAGAAGTGGTAGCAGTAAGCAGCAGGTTGTGTCCAACTTTTACTTTTAATATGAACTTGTTACTCTCAATACAAATTTCACAACTTGTTTTCTTATTATTGATTAATCTATATTTTGTATATGCAGGTTTGCTATGGATGACAAATTTCATTGATGATTTAATTGGAATAAGATGGGAGCTAAATTTATACATTTGCAGTTTTTAGATGAGAAATATTAGAACACTTTTTAGTTTAGAAAACTTGTGCATAATATATTCTTTTTTTTTTTTTGGGATCATAATTTATCTTGTTGGCTTCTCTGTCTTGCGAAATTGATTGTAGTATTTGTTGACATAGTGGATCAAATGCAATAAAGTTTTAATGTTTGAAAAATGTGGATGTTCTTCTATTTGATATTTGTCCATGTTCAATTAAAAATAACAGTCTGGAGAAAGGTGTTTACGAGACATTTAATGGGTATTTATAAATATGTTTCACGACACATATAATTGTCCTAAAATAAATAATGGCGACATATATAAATGTCCAAGATCAAAGTAAGTGTCTCAAAAAATACTTTTACAGGACACATATACGTGCCCCAAAAATACTCAATCGAGACACATATAAATGTCTTGAAAAGAAAGTTCTTTTGAGGCACATATTTAGTGCCTCATGAGCTATTGCGACACACAACTACGCGACATATATTTTATATGCCCTTATGAATATAAGTGCCTCAATATGGTATATATGGGGACATTTTTGTGTGTCACGAAAACAGATTTTTGTTGTAGTGTAAGTTAAGGATGAAATTGGAACATATTAAAATATGAGGGGATATTTTAGTATTTTACAAAAATCTGAATCATGTGTGGACTTATTGATAATTAAATGGATTTTTTGTCTAAATCTCTTTATGAATAAATACGTATTGATGGGTTATTTATAATATATATATAGACATATAAAATTATCTGGTACCCATAACCAAAATAAGAACTATAAAACCATACCAAAATCATGACGATTTGCATTTCTTTACCAAAACTATTACCAAAGCCAACAGTTTCAGTACCAAATTTTAAATAGAACAGATACCTTATAGGTAGGTAGCGGATTGATTTTTTGACATATCCTAATTTTTCCATCTCCAATATTATCTTTTAATTTTATATTTTAAAAATAATGGGTAAATTACACCCACACCCTTGAGATATCTTAAAATACCTTCTCTCAAGAACAATATATGTTGACTTTGAATTTCGGAGTCGGGTCGTTGACTTGATCTTCTCCGGATTTGATTTTGAACTTGAATAACATTTTCCGAGGGTCTTGCGACTTGAATCTCGGATCGAACGCAGAACTTTGACGGGTTTTGACTTGAAGATCTTGGAGTTCTTGATGGATTTGGCCCTTCAATCTTCCTTCGATCTTGATTTGTTGAAGAACGCCCTCAATTTGATGAAGATCTTGGGACGCCATCGATATGAAGAACGCCTTGAATTTGATGAAGATGACTTGAATGTTGTAGAGAGAATTTTCTCCTACGATTTTTATTCTTCTTGAGTTGTGTCCTGAATTGTGTAGAGATGGTCGCTATTTATAGTGGTAGAATAAGAGTCCTACTTAAAGTCTACTTGATGACGTGGCGCGATTTGATTGGCTCTCTTTAAATTAATATTTATCTCTTATAACTTGGAAGAGAAGAAATAATCCTATTGGCCAATAATTAATTGATAATTATCTCCATAACTTATTTTGTAAGATAAATTATAATTTTATTTAGACACAATTTAATTGGCTAATTTAATTAACCAATTAATTAATTTTATGCGTCTACAATCCCTATTAGTTATCTTGAATCCAATATTATATATAATATCGTGAAATCAGAATTATAATATCCATAACCAAGCCAAGTACACAACGTAAAAACAAAAGGCCCTGATGAAAAAAAAAAAAAAAACTTGATACTAATTCCGTTAAGAAATTTGGAGTAAACTGCAAAAACTACCCCTGTGTAATCCAAAAATAGCAAAAACCCCCCTGTGATAAATAAACTAGCAAAAACCCCCCTGTGAAATTATTTAAATAGCAAAAACCCCCCTATGGAACTATTTGAGGGTTGACTTGATATAAAAAGACACAAATACCCCTGGAGTCTTGCAATTAATAAATTCTTATATTTTATAAATATTTTAATTATTTTATTTAAAAAATAATCAATTTAGTTGTTTACTATTTTTTTTAATTTCTAAACAAATAAATTAAAAAGAATAAATATACATATAATATGTATATATATAAATACATTTTGATGGTCAATTTTGTCATTTCAAGTCTAAAAAATCAGTTAGGGGGATTCTGCCTTTGACTAAATTTCACAGGGGGGTTTTTGCTAGTTTATTTATCACAGGGGGGTTTTTGCTATTTCGAGATAACACAGGGGTAGTTTTTGCAGTTTACTCAAGAAATTTGTGAACCGAGTCAGTCCTGGTTCTGGAGCCGCACGACTCGCTCACTCAACTGCTCCTCCTGCACAGCCAAACGCGTGACCGCGAAAAGCATCCAGTAGAGCATGAGCGCCGCCGCGATGAGGAGGCCGTTCCGCTGGGACTTGATAGCGGATTTCTGGTGGCGCATCAGCTCGGACGGCGTGCAAGACTCGGACGATTTGCAACTCGGCCGAGTTTCGTACTTCCAGTAAATGTCGAGCAGCAAGAAGAGGCAGAAGGGCACCACCGAGAGGAACGGCTTCAGTAAGTTCCGTGTGACGGAGATTACACCCTTCCGCAGAGGATTTAGAGTCGGCGGCAGAGTCAGTAGCAGGACCATCGTAGCCTCAGCTGCCGCGACGTAGCTTAGAACTACCCATTCCAATGCCATTAGTTATTTTCCGATTTTTTTATTCTCTGCTTTTCTTTTCTTTTTTTGAAGATATGATAAATTGGTGTTATTAATAATAGAGAGGAAGTGTATTGCGCTGTATTGATGAATTTGTATTAGGATCCGGATCGTGTGCCGGGTGTAAGGACACGTGGCTTGTGCTCGTTTATGCGTGCCAGGTGGCAGCTCTTGCTGAAGCCCAAGTATTATGAGATCATGTGTTGTTGGCGGTAATACTTGGATGAACTACCGAGGAGTGGGTTATTTCTATCCTACACCCGGTGAAGGTTACACCGGGTGATTTTTAACCGTTGATCTACACACACCAATGTGGGTGTGTGTGTGTTTGTGTGTATATGAATGGTAAAAATTTACCCGGTGTATTTCACTCGGTGTAGGATCTCAAAAGCCCGAGGAGTGAGGACTACTTTTTATTTTAGTTTTTAATTTTTTTTATTTATCGAGCTTTAATTTGTTCGATCTTTATGTGGGGGTGATATTTGCAGGATGGGGGTTTAATGTTAATGCAGAATTTTCAATAATTCTTTGATAGACTTATGAGTACCTACACTTGATGAAATACAAACTAGGTTTTAAATCATAGATTTATATAAATAATTATAGAGTAAATTGCAAATACCATCCTTGTGTAATATTTAATTGTCAAATACCCCTTGTCAAAAAAAACAATTCACTCATAACTCCCTATGTAATATTTTTCGAAGCACACTGCACCAATTGGTAGTTTAATTGTTGACCAAGGGCGAAAGACAAAAATGCCCTAGGGCTTTTTTTTTTTGTAATTAGTAAAACTTACAAGTTTTTAACATTTTTTAATAATTTATTGTTTTAAATAAATAAAATATATAATAAATATAAATAATAATTAGAAAAATTGAACGAAAAAAAAAAAAAAAAAAAAAAAATAGTCGTCTTCTTCGCAGCACCCCACATCCGGCACATCACCCTACCTCACTCACCCACTCACAACTCCATCTACCATTTCTCCCAGCCCTCCGCCCGCTCCGCCGCTCACCATCAATTCACCCCTCGTGCACCACCACCACCACCGTGTTTTTAAGATCCACCGCCCACAATTGCGAGCAAGACGTCGTCATTCCTGGAGAAATCGGACATCAGAGAGGTGCAATAGTGTTGGAATGCGATAAAAAATTGCTTCAAATGGTAGGCGAAACAACTTACAGTGAAGGTGGAATTCACTTGAGATTTGAATACCCACTTATCCTTCGGAGAGGTTGATTTTGTCGACTTCTTTAATAGCTACTGTTACACAAATCCACCGCTGGCGATTGAAGACGACGGCCATGGTTTGCCGGCGAGATGACTGCAAATCCACAGCTGGAATTTCGACAGCCATGGATTGGGAGTTTTTAACGGAGAGGAGTCGATTGGTGACGACGATGACGAGCAAAGAAGAAAAAAAAGGAAAAAAAAAAGATGTTGGGGCAACTCTGTCATTTCACACAGCAAAAGTGAAGAAAAATCGCACAACTCGCGCACGTGTGAGACACGATTTGCTTCCAGGGGTCTTAATGCTTTGACTTTGATTACACAGGGAGGTTTGACTTTTGAGTGAATTTTTATTTAGCAGGGGGTTATTTCACAATTAGGTATTACACATGGGTGGTATTTGCAATTTACTCAATAATTGTATTCATTAAACCCACATATTTACGTGTGCTTGTTTATTATATGTAGATCAATAGTTTAAAACTACATAGTATATTTCATCAGGTGTAAGTTCTACAAAACTCTTTTAAGGACACTTTCAACAAAAATCGTATTTTCGATAGAGAAATTCGCGCAGCCTGGGCAATTAATTGACTATACTTCGTCATAGTCGATTAAGTTAATCGACTATGCTCTAATAGTCGATTAAAGTGTTAATCGACTGGTTTTGTAGTCGAATAAGGTTACTCGATTTCATTTTTTAATTTGTTTTTTGATTTTTGTGTATTTATTTCAATTTGTAGAAATCAATTACAAAATGTATATTATTAGTTTTGTAAAAAAAATGTTGATTTTCGTTTTCATGTAGTTGTTTTTTTTATTTTTAGTAGTCAGTTCGTTAATTGACTATGCTTCATCATAATCGATTAATATGAAACAACTTAAACACATACGAAAATACAAATGCCAACCAAACAATTGACTAATACACGTCATCAATTGCGTGCTAACTAAGCAATCCGAGCAAATGACATAACCAATTTGACACATGTCATTTATTGAGGCTATAAATCCATTTTTTATATAACATATAGATACTAATAATTTAAGTAAATTTATTTAATTTTATTGGTCAAAATACTTATATTAATCTAATCAAATGAATTTTCACCTATATAATTTTTTAATAAAAAATCTTTAATTAGCCAATTATCCGCTATAAATTTTACCCGGGTTAATAACAAAATTAAATCATGACGAGCGGGCTGGGTGCGGGTTTTGCAACATCAGCCGCGTAACCGCTCCATCGACATCGTAACAATTACAACGGGTTATAATATGGGGATATCGAATAATTAAAAGTTGGTAAATTATTGCTTAAGCATTAGCTTTTGCAATAAAATGAAATTGAAGAAGAATCAATGATTTTTCATGTTTAATTTGGAGGTACAAACATTGTTTTAATTAGCTTTATTACATGCTTGGGAGCCAATCAAATCATTAAAATTAACGAACGTAGTTTAAAGTGACACTGATCTCCACGCAAACAGCACAACCACAAAGACGAGCACTCGGCACAAAAGTAAGGTAAAACAAAAGTAGAAAGTGGAACAATGATCCTTATTAATGCTTTAATTTCATTATACAGCAACTTTAATTCTAAGTTTTCTTTGGGGTTTGAAGGAGGCTACTGCACTAAAGCTAAAGGCCATAAAAAGCATTCAAAGCAACGAAAAAGCAATTCGCAAGAGGATATATGTATACCACTTTATATTCAACTTGTTTATTTTACCTTATGCAGATGTTAAGAAAAGTAACCATTATATTTGAATATTTAATGCTATAACTTTTAATTCGCAATTGAAAAGGTGTAAATATACTTTTTGCACCTAGAATCAAATTTGCTGCAACTCTTCCTTCGTTATGAAGTAGTTGACTATTGCCCTATTATGAATTTTACGACCACTTCATAATGCGGTCACCGACTATTACTCTATCGCCAGTGGCGGAGCCAGCATAGGGCCGGGAAGAAGTTATGGCACTCCCAACATTTGCCACATTACTATTAATTTATATATAAGTATATTTTTTTGTACAGTAGCATTAACAGTCCCGCTAGTAATTTTTTTAATGCATTCGACCCGAGACTTAAAATCCTGGCTCCACTATTGTTATTGTCTATTATATACACTTGCATATTTTATATGTAATTTCAATACCCCACCCGTGTTCTGGAATTAATTTGTTAGAATTGACTATTTTAATTTGATGTTCTATCTTAAAATTTCAAAATAAAATATACAAAGAAAGTATGAAAAAAGGATTTATATAACTATACATAGTTGATAGTAGTACTCTTGACAATAGTGGGTGCCGGGTGGTCATATATTTCTAAAACGTTCTTGGTGGATATAAATTAAAATACAAAAACAATCACTTTTAAAGCATATATTCAAGATTCATTTGAGTTTGAGCATTCGAGTTTACAACATGATATAAACATTAATTACGGAATATAAGCAAATTATCTATTATATAAAGAAAAAATGTAAAGGCAGAAGCCAAGAACCACCACCCGGAGCGGCGGAGCTTACCGCTTTCGGACGAATAGCCACTCTCCGAGTACCGCGCGTAGCACTTGCCCAAGAACACGTCCCCCGAAGTAGACGTCCCACACTCGGTTTTCAGCCGTTGGATCGCCTCCGATAAACAATCCTGGCACTCGCCCATACTCAAATCCTGGGTGCACTGCACCATACCTTGTACTCTCCCGGACCCACCCACCCGAAAGTAGTGCCCGCCGCCCGTCAGATACGCCAGCACAGCATCCCTCCTCGTCAGCAAGTCGGAGTCGTACCCAATCGACGGCCCACATTTACTCGACACCACGGCCTTGTCCTGAGCCCCCAAGAACGACACGTTGTCGTACTTTATAAAACAGCCGTCCAGCTGGAGGGCGCCCCCGGAAGTGCCGACGCAGTAGGTCCCGATTCGGGAGACCGCGTCGGCCGTGCAGCGGCGGCAGTCGGAGGGGGAGAGGTCGCCGCGGCACTGGAAGAGACCGTAGACTACGTCGTTTGGGGCGGAGCCGGGGAGTGAGATCTTGAAGTTGTTGTAGTTGGAGATGGAGGCTGAGTTGACCAGGGAAGCGAGTGCCGAGTTGACGTTGGACTCGTAGGGGGTGCCTGGGTTGTATTTAAGCTGGGTGCAGCCTACGTATACAAATGACTCTAGTGAAGAAGATGATGATGAAGGGGTTGTCAAAAGTGAGGTTACGATTATTAGGAAAATACGGACAGCAAAAGACATGGGAAGACCTTCTTTGCCGTGCGTGTTCATTTTCTCAACTTCTATCTGTGTGTGTTGATGGAGCTAAAGACTATGCATAGTGTGTATGTGTGTTTTATTGATATTTTTTTTGTATGAGAATGCTTTATTGATATCTTTATTGTTTTTTAACCAAAGAAAAAAAGAAGTTAAAAATATTGCTTCATTGGGTAAATTAGGAGGACCTCACTGAATTAAAGTTGACATACATAAAAAGAGAAAAAGAAAAACAAAAAAATAAAAAAAATATCATGAGTTGATAATACTATGGGCTCGTTCGGTTATCTATATTGGATTAAATTGGACTAGATGAAATTGGATTAACTCCCTACTGGCTAATTAATTATTTAGTTAGTAACATGTTCGGTTTCTTAGATTAGATATTCTATTAAATTAAATTCAGTTATTATGTATGAATTGTCTATAAAACCATTTAGTTTAAAATAATACGATATGATTTTAAGGATAAAATTGTCTTTTTC